TTATATGAATTCATCAAATTCTACTAGTTTTGATGGGATGAAGATGATAATTGGTGTATATGTTTGATGAAATATTTGTAGGATTGAGTTAATGAGATGTAGTAAAAGGTGTACTCTATGTGTTTGATGAAATGTTTGATATGCTACTTGTTGTATACATGAAAGCAATGAAGCTATTTTCGTTATATATTACACTAGACCGAATACACACTCGTTATTATGAGATAACGATAGTTATTTCTTTTTAAAAATCGATAGAATCCATAAAAATATCTTAATTTATGACTATAACGAATAAAATATCATTATAATGTATCAAATAGCGAAGGTATAGGTGTATTTAATTAACCGGGATGGAAATATAACCATAACGAAAATAACAATCGTTAAAGTAGAATTGTTTATTAGTTATGTTGAAAATCATAAAAAATGTGTGTGTTATTGATGTATGAATGTTGTACTTCTTAATTTCAAAATATAATAATGTGCATGTGATTGTTTTAATTTATGATTGATGTTGTATTTTTTAATTTATGACATATGTTGTCTTTTTTCTATGCTTTAAGGAACCGAAATGGAGTATGCTTTTGACATACCTTCTACATGCTTCGGAGTCGTGACCAATAGGTGCGACCTCAAGGTTGTGAATCACGTATTTGAGGGGCTATATGATGAACATCAAGATCTTTTTTTGGAATCTTGCTTCCGCCCATTAGTGCACATTCTGGAGTTGAAGTTGTCATCTCAAATTATCCACCACCTTCTTATGAGGACCTTGAAATCATCCGACAACGAAAAACATGCCGTGTGGTTTAAGTTTGGAGAAAACCAAGCTAGACTCGGGTTACAAGAATTTTCTCTTGTAACCGGATTAAAGATCGTGGATGATCCCGAGTACGAGATCCCCGAAAGAAGTAGTTCTCTTTTGCATCTATTCAAAAAGAAGCGTGGGAAGATAATGAGGAAGGATTTGCTTGAGAAATTTGATAATCTGAAGAAGAAGGAACATGCACACTTGAAATACAAATTGGGGCTTATCACGGTCCTCGAGCACGTGATTTTGTCTGCAGAGTGTCGGACTCTCGTAGATGAAAAATGGTTCCATTTGGTTGAAGATTTGGAGCATTTCAATAGTTATCATTGGGGAAACTTATCGTATGGGTACACCGTAAAGTTGTTCAAGAGGAACACTTTCGGTAAAATAAAAAACCCAAAGTTGATAAAGTATTCTCTTCACGGATTTCCCCTAGCTATCATGGTATATTTGATATAAATATATGTTTGTGCTATTTCTTATTTATTTATGTTAGTTGTATTCTTAATGTTGTTCTGTTGTTTGGTAATCAGGTTTGGGCATTTGAGGCACTGCCAGAGTCAGGAAGACAATTTGGTGAACACTGTTCTACTGGCGGACTTCCAAGAATAATGTGTTGGAAAATGGACAAACATTTGCGAAGCGAGCAACTTACTACGTTTTTTAACACTTCGGAGGTAATTTTAGTTATGGATAATTCATCTTATTTATTCTTATAGTTTTGAAAAAACTAATTATTCTATCAGGTTCAAGTTCGACGAACGTTACAACCTTCAAGTGATGAAGTTGAAACTTCATACTTGAAGGATTTCAGCATAACTTCAGAGGAACAAGAAATTGTGCTTGACGATGAGGAAGAAGAAAAAGGAGAAAAAAATGAGGCTGAGAATGAGGATGAGGATGGTGAGGAAGAGGAGGAAGAGGAAGAAGAAAAAAATGATACATCTCAATCCGATCCACCACAAACCCAAGTTTTGGATGCTGAAAATATTCGAACTATAGTCAGGGAAGTTGTGACGGAAGTTGTGAAGGACGAGATGAGAATATTTTCTGAGCGAATGGAGATGAAGATGGACATGAAGATGAACAATTTTTTTGACCGAATAGAAAAATTAGTATTTCAAGCAAAAGCTGGTCCATCTACCCGTGCTACCTATGACGGGACAAATGTTGATGAAGAGGTTGATTCGGAGATTAATATGCGGGATACGGAGACCGGTCGAACAATAGATGGTGTTGAAGGTATTTTTTTAAAATAAATGCATCATATCAATGTTCTTACTTGATTATTAAAAAAAATAGAAGAAGTTATTGTAATATTTTTTTACATAAAGATATATTTTAAAACAAATGCAACATGTTATTGAAACACGTATATTTTTTTTTCTTTCGCAGACACGGTAAAATCACCATCTCCGATGCCCCAATAAGAAATGGCTGGACTTACTGATGATGCGGGTATGTAAAGTATAATTGTAACTACTACGTAATTTGATTGATGGTGCATTCTTGTAAATAAACGATTATTGATTGTTTTTTGCTTATTGTAGGTTTTGTGACTTGCCCGTCATCAGCCATTGTTATTTACCAAGAGAGACAACTTGGGACACCGATGGAGATAGAGAAAATCGTTGTAGACGATCAGCTTGAGTCTCCTGAGATAGAGAAAATCGTTGTAGGCGATCCAGTTGAGTCTCCTAAGGGGAGAGGGCTCCGGAAAAAAAGACCGGCTTCCGTTCTATGTACTCCGTATAGAAACATTAAAAAAGGAAAAAATTTACAATTGTGACGGAGTACGACCCTTTTAGGCCAGTGAATCCAGCTAAACTTGAAGATCTCCAAAGCTGGTTGTCGAGTACCCCTGAAAGGTATGTAATTGTGTTAAATTTAATTGTGGGCTACTTATTGTAATATACAAGCTTATATGTCTTTGTTTAATGTATTCTTTTTTATGTAGTCTTGGAGTTGAGTTGTCCTCTGGTGGTATAGCAAATAAAGATTTTTTTAATAAACTTGTGAACATGGATGGCATTCTAGCGAGGTAAACTATTTACAAAAGTTTATTCAATGTTTTACCTTTGAAAAGCGTGATATTCACTAATGCAATAAACATTATACTCTTAGCATGTAGATGAAGCACTTTTTCACATTCGAGAGCGGTCTAAACAGTTCCCTCTCTTGTTTAGACAAGATTGTGCTGTTTTGGACGCGATTTTTGTCTTGTGCGTGAGAAATTTCTTCAAGGATATGTCGAAGACTAAAAGATTTCCGAAGGCCTTGACTAGATACTGTTGGGTTCGCCTGTACCGTACGAGCTATACGCAGTGGAATTTAAATTTTTTTAAACCATGTATTTAACAATTAAATACATAGCTCGTACATACATATGGCGAATTAACAGATCGTCATCTTTAAAAACATGTAATAATACAAATTTTGATTTGTTTGATAATAAATACAATATTTACCGTTAAACTTGAACTCCTTCAAATTGACGATGAATGAGGGAATCGATTCCTGGTTTGATAACTGCAAACGCTATGTGGTTACTCGCTTAGGAATCCACGTGTCTTCCCTCTAAACGTATCCACCTTTCAAATTTCGGTTCCGATAGCCTCTTTCTTCGCTAGTAGAAAAGTATCGGTTTTGTATAGGAATATTAAATTAGATAATATTTTTGGAGAAAAATTTAAGAATTCTTTCTTAAATTATATTTGAAGAACTTTTCTTCTTTTTCAACTCTTTGGAAAAATTCAAGACTTAGCTTAAAAACCACTTAGCCATTTATGCAAACAATTTGCATCTATTTATTCTAAACTTTTTAGCATAAAATAATCAATATTTAGTAATATTTAAATAAAATATGATTTTATTTAAATAAGATTACTAACTATTGACTTTTATATAATAAACAATTGTGAAGTGGTTCATAACCACCTTTAACCACCATTTATTATAATCCTTTTATTATTTTTAATCTTTAAATCATATTTAAATATGAAAATAATAAAATAATAAATCTTTATTATTATTTTCTTTTTTCTCCCAATATTATCTAATTTATAATAATCATATTATTATTATTTTGGA